ATGTAGCCTAATATTATTCAAGTGAAGCCAGCCATACAATGAAAGGTTAACTCCTTCTGACCCAGTGAGTTACCCAACAGATAGAAGATGATGTAGCTCTCTGATAATCAATCAATGTAATCTAGCCCTTTATTAGAGAGAAGGTGGAGTTTCTGATATGGGCTTCATTGAGTTCCTTGCTGGACAATTCCTACCTTGAAATCTGCCCCCCAGGACTAGTGTCCCCAGTGGATAACTTAGAAACAATGAGGCACTTGGGTGGGGTGTGTACTAACTCAGTATGGATCATGTCCATATAAAAAGAGGAAATGTGAACTTCCAAGGAGCAGCATGGATGGTGGGGAAGAGAGAGAACCATGTGAGCCCAGAACAAGATGGCGGCCATGTGCCAGCCCAGGAGGGAGCTGCAGAGGAGCCAGGCCAGTCCACTCACTGGAATGGTCACAGATGGACACCTTCCCATCATCTGTGATCCATGAAAAGATCACTGACTCACACCTCTCCTACGTGGAGTTTTTGAAATGCTTGACCTGTAGAAAATCTTTTTCTATAACATTTGGTTAATTCTTCAGAAACTGGTGTCCTCATTAATATGCACCCAATGAAGTCCATTCCATTCCAAAATTTTCTCATAAAATGTGTTTTTTTTTTACTTAGTTGATTTCAAATGTGTGTCCCTGAGAAAGCAGAGGTAGACTTCAATCCTCATTCTTTAGTTCCTTTGTTCACCTGAATAAAACTAAACACAGTCTGTGCCCATGGTTCCTGAGGTCTGCTGAACCCATATTCAGAGCCCAGAGCCTTCACGTTTAGCTGTGGGTGATTCCTGCCCTGGTCTGTTTCCTGAATTCTCAGCCCCTAATCTTGCCTGAAGTTTCCAAGTCCCCAGGCACCTGTCTCACACGTGTCACCTGCCTGGAGCTGTCTCTGCTGACTGTCCTCCCGTAGGTTTGGCAACACTCACCTCCCTTCTCCTCCAAAGCTTAGGGATTGGCAACTCCTAAAGGGAGATTCTCCTCAAAGGAACTTTGTTTGTTTGTTCTGCTCATTAGCATTGTGTCCACCTCCTAAGGGACAATGAGGTAAGCCAGCACCTTCTGATGATGGTTCTTTGATCATATGAGACCCTCTTTTGACTCTGTGAATGATGTGTCCAAATCTGAAAATGGTGACTTCCCTTAGTAATTTCCTGCCGGGTTTCTGTTCTCGCAACTAAAAGACTCAGAGTTCACTCCAGATAAACTGGGCTAACTAGGCTGCCCGAAATAAACACACAAGAGACACAAAGATCTTTTTCTTTGGGGTCACTGTGACGGCTTCTCTGACCTTAAGGATCCACAGGAAGAAAGAGAGCAAGAGCATATGCTGACCCTTTTATTGAGGAGAAGTTATTTAAATGAGGCAAGGGGTCAGGTTTCAGGGGGCTGAGTCTACCTTCATGATGTCCACGGTGAGCAGGTTGACTGACACCTGGGTGGGCCACACCCAAGGGCACAGTAAGAGAAGGGAACACACATAAGGCACTTCCATAGAAGATTCCATCCTAAACAGGGCAAGGAGTTATATCACATAGAACCAGTGAGCTTAGCTTCACTCATGAGGCTGTAGCAAGACATACCGATGCATGAGACCCGACCCTCAAACCCAAGAAGGGTGGGGAAAACTCTGCCACATTTCTGCAACTGAGCACCTCAGCACCCAGCTGGGGAGTAACTCAGTCCCTTGAAAGGTTGCTCTCCCACAATTTCCTTCTGCCTTGGCCCCATATCCGATGTCACCTGTCTCTCTCACATCAATGACTAGGAACCACAGTCCTGGGAAGTATGGGGAATATTGCTCTAGGGACCAGGAGGGAGTCTCCGTCAATCTGTGTTCAGGACATTTCTCAACCTCAGACCAGACACTCAGGAGCACTGCCCTGCAGCTCAAACACATAATGATCTGATTATTTCTGACACTAGGAGTATTCTAACAAATGGGGATCCTACCCTCATCCCTGTCAGGTAGGCATTTGCTTTACACACTCTCAGTGTCTACC